AGTAAAAGGGTTATAGGTCTTTCCGTCTATATATAAGATTGCGGGCAAGTTTCAGCCGGCCATGGTGCTCAATTGACATAAGAAAAACAATAATTCACTGACAAGTGCGAAATATTCGTAAATATATGACAAATAAGGGACCACGCGAGGGGCTGTCTAAACTTGTAAACTTGCGCTTGTCTCCTACAAATGTTATCAAGATACCACAGCTTACCACAGCTTTCATCCATGTCCATGCACGTACGTCGTACATACTAAAGCTTGCACCGGCCCCAGCGCATGACTGGCCCAAGCTGACCGTCGCGTTGCCCTGACGTAGAAAATAACTAAAATTATTTATTCATAACTTGACCGGCCCCAGCGCGCGACCGACCCAAGCTGACCGTTGCCCTGACGCAGAAATAACAGAGGTAATTTATTCATAATGTTTGACGCTCTTTCAAATACTGCCAACCGCGTGTCGCTACGTGGCCAGGGGTCGAATTGGAAGAGGATTTCACTGTTTAAAGGCCTCTTTCCATAAAGGTGTAGAAATCCAGGAGCCCAAGCAGCGGGGCCCAGAAAAGGGTTTACAGCGATATTGTAGTGTAGTTGGATGAGTCAGCAGCATGCGTTTGGCATGTCTATGTAAGAAAACGTATACCATCAGTCATTTTCAATCAAACAAATATATCCCTCCATCTGCGAATTGCTGATTTCACTCTGAATTTACATATTGCCTATTTACAACCGCTCCTCTCTCTCTCTCTCTCTCTCTCTCTCTCTCTCTCTCTCTCTCTCTCTCTCTCTCTCTCTCTCTCTCTCTCTCACTCTCTCTCTCCTCTCTCTCTCTCCCTCCCTCTCTCTCTCTCTCTCTCTCTCTCTCTCTCTCTCTCTCTCTCTCTCTCTTCAGCTGACCTGGGACCTGGTGGGCTGTGCAGCCATGACCGTCCATCCGCCGCTTCCGCTGCTGCTGCTGCTGCTGCTGCTACTGCCTCTGCCGCCGGTGGAGGGCTGCCAGAAGGGTGCGTGGGCCACCGGCTACCTCACCGCCGACCTCCCTAGTGTCAGCGTTAAGCCCGGCGATTCCTTCAGCTGTACCTGCTGCGCGCTCTGCCACCAAAACCCGACCTGCGCCAGCCTCAGCTTCAGCCCTGCGACCGGAGAGTGTCGACTGCACAGCACAGTCGCCGGATACGACACCCTGACTCCGGACAACAGCTGGAAGTACTTTGTAATGCCCGGCCGCTCTCAGCACCACCAGTTCTGTCGGCAGGACTCGGACTGTCTGGTGAAGGGCGACTTCTGTCGAGGTCGTGTTTGCACAAACCAAACCGCCGTGACCTGCCGTGTCATCTACCAGACCTTCGGAGCAGGTGATCGGTTCGGAGACTACATAAGCCCCATGTTCGGATGGCTGAATAACACTGGAGTCCTGCTGGCCTGTAGGATGGGTTCTAAGATCGAAGGCTACACAAGACTCTTCAGAAGCTATGGGGGCAAGGCGTTTGACCGTGAGACGATGTTCCAGTACAACTCAGAGCTGACCGAGGACGTACAGCACTCCATGCTCTACCTGGCCGATCACCTCCGACACGCTGGTACTGAGGACACCTACCAACTCAAGGTATACCCCGAGCTATATTGGGGGAACTACGCGGTCATCGACTTCCAGGTGCCTCGCGCCGAGCCCGTGCTGTCTGACGTCCCTCGGCCGGGCGTGGGCTCGCTGCAAACATCCTCCAACTTTTTAAGGTTCAGGTGGACCATGACGATGCCGTACGTCCCGGCCTCGGGACCCACTCTCCTCACCACCAACGCAGCTAACCCCGATTCGAAGGACGGTGCCATAGCCAGAGGAGATGGCACGATCTTCTGGGAGTTCCGGCATATAAAGGCGCTGTATGTCTATATGAAGGAGTAGATAATGCTGAAAAGGCAGTGGAAGATCAGAAGGAGCTGGCGGAATAGACACTAAGAAAGATGCGTTGCAAGATATCTCCCTGACAAAGAAAGTGATAAAAAAGTGGATAATGTGGTGAGATATATGGTTGCTAGACGTCCTAGGTTTTCGTACATTTTTTTTTTTCACTAGCACCACGTGGTCTTTTCTCCACTTGTGACGTCACCTTTTATGAGGTTTACTTGTTTGTGATTGCGGAGCAAGCGGAGCGAGCGATGTCTACCCCTCGCCCGCACGTGGGGGGGGGTTGCCACCCCCCCCCCCACAGGTAGTCTTTCTGCTCTGCACTCAACATTTTTAGAGTTAGAAGGCTGATTTTTCGTATAGCTGCTCTTTTATCCTTTCTTGATGTCCACTGAAACTTTCAAATTTCTGTGATTTTTGGTTTCGGAGATATGACCTTGTTTTTCAGGTCATGTCATGACCCAAATGGCCAATTCTCAACATCTTGCGTTTGCCATGGGCCTTGCGAGCTTTTGACACCCTAGTGATTTCGGCCTTTTTTGCCAGTCTTACCTCCCACCTATCATGGAACATGCTGTTCGACGATGTACAGGGGTCAAGGTCAGGGTCAAGGTCAACCTAGGTCATCTAAGATAATTGCGTTTTAGGCAAGCTGAATTTACTTTTGTGAAGTTTTTTGACTGCATTTTTGGTAAAAGCTTCTCAGATCATGATTTCATGTAATATAGACCCAAAAACAATCGGTGCACACATCAGTATACACACAGACACACACAGACATAAAAACACATATAATTGACCTTGACCTAACTTGACCTGAAATGACCTCAGCAGCAAAAATCTGGTCGGGTAGTGCGACAAAGAGGTTCTAGCTGGCTTGGCACCAGAAAACAGCATCGTCATCGGTATTTGATAAGCAGCGCACTTGATATCCAACGGTGACCCAAAACAGCAACATTTTTTAGTTTGACCTGACCTGGAAGGTCAATGACTGACCTGAGAAGGTAAAACTGGGTATCATTGGATTTGTCTCTTCCCAAAGAATCTTTTTGGTCTTTACCGCTAAGCCGCTCCAACAGGAACGAAATGGCGCGGGGGGTGGCAACCCCCCCCCCCCCCATGTGCGTTCTAGGATGGGAAAATGGCATGTGCGGGCGAGGGTTAAAATAGAATAGTTACAGAGCGAGCGGAGCGAGCGAATTCTTACTTAGAATAGCAGAAATTTCCGAGTATGAGGGGTATATAGGGCCTTGGTATGAGCGACCGGCCGGCCGGCTGGCCGTTGTCACGCTTTTGCGAAGCTTATATCTTAGCATCCCCATGACCGTTGTACTGGCGGTAATTTTTGTAGGCCAGTTACATTCCTTCTATCGAGTACTGGACTATTTTCGATACATTTAGGCAACCCCTTATGCATGTGCCACGTGCGAAACGAAGAGCTGTCAGTATTGGAACAATGGTTTTAACCCGCGCCCTGGTGGGGGGGGGGCTATTTTTTGCCCCCCTCCAGACTTTTCGATATATCTCCAGAACCGCTGCGACGATCGTCACCAAACTTTCAGTACCCTCCCGGACATCAATTTTACACATTGTGACCAAAAGTTTTCCCAAAGGCTATGATACGTTGGCCGGAAATGACGTCAGAGTAACGTCATGTTCTGCCGTTTTCGACCCAAAAAAGGGTTTCGCGGGAAGAGCTGTCAGGCCTAAGCCTTGCAAATACAGAAAAACGATATGGACATAAAAGCTGTAGAATTAACAGGGCTACAAAACTGCTATCTCAGATTTTTGAAATTTTTGGATTTTGACCCTAAAAATAAAAAAAAAAGATTTTTTGAATATAATAGCCGAAAAATCTAAAAAGTTTTTTGAATTTCGCAAAAACCGGAATATATGTGATAGTCCTTACCACCTTCTATCCACATACCAAATTTGAGATTGATATCTCTTTTTTGGCGAAGTTATAGCGAAAAAACTGTTCAAAATTGATGACGTAAAATTTTCAAACTCAATTTTTAGCAATTCTAGACCCCGTAGCGCAAAACAAAGACCACCATTAGACTCCACGTGACGAGCTGCATCGAATCAATACCCATTTTATGCAATACTATCAACTTGAAAATTTGACCTTTTTTGACCTGACCTTGACCTGACCTTCACCAGAAAGTGACCTAATCCGTACCTGATAGTCTTATAACCAACATCATTGAGTTGGAAATGAAAAATTGGCCATACAACATGCATCACACAACCTTAGTACCTAAAGTTAGGTTCATGTGACCTGACCTGTGACCCTTGGTGACCTGACCTGTGACCTGACCTGGTAATGTCAGTGACCTCTCATAGCAACATATGTACTAAGCAACTGACGCCCCATCGCTGATTCTCGACAAAATGCGTTGAGGTCAACACCCCAAGTTGACCTGACCCGGACAAAAAGTATATCATTCGACGCGCCTGAGCGAGGCGAACACGATGCTGCCAAAATCGGCGCTCTGCGGCCGTTTTTGCGAAGTTATTCACCAAAAACTGAACCGTACCTTGGGGCACTTGACCTGACCTCAGAGGTCACCGGTTGACCTAAGACCTTAAAATCGGGTACCAATCTCTGCGTCTCGTAACGGCGCACACGCTCGTTTTTTTCCGCGACGCGCTAGCTCCATCAGGGGCGAAACGGCGAGGGGGGGTCGTACCCGCCCCCCCCCCCCCTCGGCCGGCGCGTATGTAGAAAACCAATAGGTCCGGCGAGGGTTAAAATTAGTCGACGTTCGATTTTCTCGGGTTCAGTTTTTGTCTTTTTTATTGGCTTAAATACGTGCTTCTTCGGAAAACATACTTGGAGCAAGAGTCCTTTAGAAGAAAAACAGACAGTAGCTATAATACAAATACAAATGCATGTACAAAATACAAATGCATTCCTAGATGAAACTGCGAACTGCGGGGCCACGGGCTTCGTCACTCGGTCACCAAGACCCCCGGCCAGTGGTAGCTTCCATCTACATACATAGGTCTGCGATGTTCATCGCACCACCTTGACTGATGTTCCATCACATTCAGACTTTCAGCTCGATCTTTCAGGCAAAATGTGAAGATCGAAGAGTTGCATCGAATGTATTGCCAACACCTTCAGGTGACAACTTATCAGTTCAGTAACAGTAAGCAGAAACAGCATTGCAAAGATAGTTGATAGGGATCTATGTAGTAAATATCTATGTACCTAGATGAGGATTAAATAGCCTTGACCTTATTGTTGACTTGGCCCGTCTCTAATGAGTTTTTGATGACAGACATGCTATCTGGTGCCCAAGGACGATTAGGAGGTGAGCTGATGATTGATTAGATGAATTGCGTCTGGCCGAGATTCACAGCGTTCTCAGCCCAGAAGAGCTCCGGGTGCTCCTGCCTCAGCTGGTCATACTCGGGAATCTGAGCCGGCGCTACTGGCAGGTGGGCGGCCTGCGGCTGGAAGCCACCCTCGTTGGCCAGGTAGTCGACGCGGTAGGTGTTGCCGTCATCAGCGATGAACACAAAATTGCCCCGCTGCTCGATTCTTCCTCTCTGAGGCTGGGAGGCACGATCGACACGTCCAGTCTCCTGGATCTGCAATAATAATTCAGTTGCATTGTAGTTAGACGTGCTCCTGGTACAAGTAGATTGTTTCGCAATCTACATCACATATTCATCAGCAGGCATTTGTCAGTTAACCCGCTTTCAAAGTACATAAACTGAGTATCTAAAACCAATTTTGTCATAAATTGTAAGGAAATAACCTACCGCTCATAACTCTTTAAAGTATATTCGGGATTCAAAAGAAAACAACTTTTCGAGCTCATTCAGCATGACGCCATCATCAGCTCTCTGAGATGATGATGGCTGATGAGCGCAATGCCTAAAGCTTCTCGAATAGTTATTTTCTTTGGAATCCGGAATTTACTTTTAGGTAGCATGAGAGAGTACTTTTCTTACTATTTATTGCAATGTCTATAAACCTAGCGTTTTAGCAAATATTTGGGGCCAATTTTATAATTTTAACCTTTTTAACGATAGGCGCTATCACAAGTGTATTCGCGGCCATTGGGGCGACGTAAGAAAAGAAGAAAACATCTGACCCCAAGAGCTTTGAATTATCAGTTAGCATGCAACTTTTCCTTTATGTGGAAAGAATCTACCATTAATTGTTAGATAAAATTGCATTTAAAATCGTAGTTTTATGTTTTTCCATCGTTTGCACAATATATTCCTTTACAAAGCTAGAAACACTAATTAAAAATAGTTCCAGCATCATCATCAAGAACAATAAGGAAGGCTTGAAGTGAATACAATAATCTATAGTTCGTTTTTTTTTCAAAAGGACGCTGGCTCCAAGTATGTTTTTCGAACAAGCACGTGTTTTAGCGAGCAAAACGAGCAAAAACTGAACCTGAGAAAATCGAACGTCGATTAATTTTAACCCGGCGGCCGCTGGGCCTCCGCGCCACCCGCCGGCCGCTGGGGGGGGCATAAAGTTGCCCCCCCTTTACTTCTGCGACGATATCGTTGCAACGCGAAGAGATAGAGAAGCGAAACTTTGCACACATCTTCCTGAATACCTAGCCGAGGTTGTGTCCAAATTTGGTGTCGATCCCATTTGAAATGACGTCACAGTGACGTCATAAGTGAAATTATAGATTTGCGACTCTCATATTCCTCACGATACATCACATATATGGGACCAAATATAAAGGGCCGATTATTGGTCAGAAACTAGATGGAAGTGTAGTAAGATGTTTTAGGATGACAGCAGGTGCTGTCTAGTTCATTTACAGTCGAGTTTCATGCTCAGCGTCATCAGAAACGGTCCATATCGGAAACGACAAAACTTTATGACGTCACTGTGACGTCATCTTAGGTGCTACAACCACCAAACTTTCCTCAAACATTGCCTAGGTATTCATTTGAAGCTATGCCAAGTTTCACGTTCGTAGCTCATCAGGTTTCGGAGATATTTCACAAAACGTAAAGGGGGGGCAACTTTATGCCCCCCCCCCAGCGGCTCGTGGGTTAACATGTGATTTCTTCCTGATAATTTCCATATGTGCGTTTTGGAACCAAATAGGAGAACAGTAGTGACGTCATGCTGTCGAACATGTATTGCAATGTAACGTATAACTATCATGGACGGAACCGCTTACTCGATTATAAGCTCGGCAACAGTAAAAACTAAGTTTCACCCAAATTCGTTGACACTTGTCCCATTGCACGGACATTTGGGTGCCTGCTGCCACCAGTGACGTCATCATAGTATGTTCATTTTTAAGAAACATTTTCCAGCTACTTACCGTGCACAATTTGAAATCGATTATTTTTCGGTAAGAAATTATTGGCCAGACACTGAAGCTGCCAAAACTCACGTGAGAGCTTCGATATTGAACTTTGAGCCAGCGTCCTTTTGAAAAAAAAAAACGAACTATAAACGGTTTTGCCAGATGTGAAGATCACTCCTAAAATTGCCTGTAGAAATATTGAAGGCAAAAGTTCAACTTTTTCACAAGACAGATGTCTATAAACCTATTCAACGTGTGACAACTCAGCCGGTATTTCATCGCCTACAGCCCAGCTTTCGCTAGTGACCGCTAGAGGCGCTGCTATCGATGTCCACCCGTGCCGCCTAACGACAAAGTGTTTTGCGCATTGCGATGTTTTTAAATTTGGTTGAGTAATGGAGCTGCAAGGAAAACTTACAGAAAATATTTAAAGCACACCCACATGCTAAAATGCAGCGCTGAGTGCGAATCATCTGCAACATCAAAAAATGATATCGGTTTCTAATTTTGCAGAGTCTGTGAGTAATGTTTGAAGTTAACACTGAGATCGACTTTTAGCATAAGAGGAGAACTGACGTACCCGCTGTCCGTTGCTCAGCTCGTAGCCGTACTCGTAGTCTCCGTCCCGGACCTGGTCGAACCGCTGGCTGAGCACGCGCACATCCGGGGTGTAGATGGCGCTGCTGAAATCGGGAACGGGCACGAACGGAGCGGGCACAAACGGAGCCGCCCAGGCAGCCGCCACCAGCAGGATAGCCACGAACTGTCAATGGAAAAAAATCATCAGCTCAGGCATTCGGGCTTGGAGAAACGCACATGCAATAAACCGCGGCTTTATTCATGCAGGACTTTGTTCATTATAATGTTTATGTTTAGAATATAGATAATTAAAGTGGAAAAAATCAGTTGTGTTCAAATGCACTCATGCGTGTCCTGCTGTCTCACTTCATATCAAAGCGCGCAGCTCCTTTGACAATTAGGCACAGCACAACCTCACAGCCACCACTGGACGGCTACTGCCGCAGTCGGCAGCGCATGGTAGCGGGATCCTCACCATCTGCATGTTGGCTGTGAGATGGTCAGCAGAGAACTGATACCGTCCAGCAGTGCTCAGCCGCTTATAAGGCCCAGCCGGCCGCTCTCAGGGTCGGCCCGGTCCGTGAGGAAACGGTGGCAGATGAGCTGTAAGATGAGTCCGATGAGCCGATCTTACCGTTCTCGGATTGACGAGTGGAGCACGATTGTATACTAAGTTAAGAACTAGCTTGATAAATTCCAAAATTATTCACACAAAAAAAACTCTCTTGCCATCTAGTGCCGCTATTTCTACTATTTTTAATCCTCTGATGCACTTGTCCTGTATCTACATAATGTCGTTTACGGCTTGTCAGTTGTCGCAATAATGTACCGCGTGTTGAGTGACAAAAATCAATACCATAGCTATACCGACGAACGATCGCTTTGAGCCTTTAGGCGATTGACAAAAATAACAGTATGTGGGTATACAATCCATGTCTCAGAATTTTGATACCCGCGCCGGGCCGGTGCTCTGAGATTCCGCGCCGGGCCGGGGGGGGGGGGTCTGAACAGCCCCCTTCTAACTTGGCTCCTGGGCCACGTAGCGACACGCGGTAGGCGGCAATCGAAAGAACGTCCAAAATAAGGACGAAAACATTCGGCCATTTTTTGGGTCAGGTCAAAGGTCAGGTCACCAGAGGTCACCAAAGGTAAAATGTTGACTATTTCAACATTTTGGAAACTGCCCACGGCTATCTCGAGAACCAATAGAGCTACAGCGCTTCAGAAAAGCGCATTCGATAGCCCTTTTACAGAACTTTCTGAATAACGCTCTCAGATTTGACCTCAGGTCAACAGTTTAGCCTCCAGAGGGCAAAAACTCCAAAAAATAGCCGTTTTTACGAAAAGCGTTTTTCAGTAATAACTTTTGCCTCAAAAGAGCCATGACATTACTTTTGCCAGCATCGTGTTCCTCTCGTCGAGACGCGTCGAATGAACTATAATTTGACCTTGAAAAGTCAACTTAATAATTTGACCTCAGGTCAAGGTCATGACCCGACCGGAAAAGGTCATGTTGCATATCAGTCGATCCGCAACGTCGAGCCGAACACATCTAAGGCGTTTTCAGCGCTCTAGCACGCCTCTATCAGAAGTTATTGGCGAAAAACTATTAGATTCTGTTCGTGACCTGAGATGACCTCGGGGACATAACAAGGGGTCACAGTTGCCATTTTCTGGTTCAGTGTGTCAATTTTACCTACATCTTGGTGTTTGAGAGTGTCTAGAATAGCGTCCGTGCAAAACAGACGCTTTTCAATTTCTTAGGTCACCGATATCAAAATTCCGAGATATACATTTTATAGATAGTGTTGCTCTTATCAATCGCTGAAAGTTTCAAGGCAATCGTTCAGTCGGTGTAGCTATGACGAGCATTCTTATTTTTTCTGAGGTGAGGTCACTTGGCGTAACCTGGTTGCCTGACCTAAGGTGACCTGGGTCTGAAATTTTCACAACATGTGCCTAAATAATGCATGAACAGGTGTGCCCGCCGCCGTTTTTGAGATATCTGCGAAAAACCGCAGGGGCGGGGGTGTTCAAACACCCCCCCCCCCGGCCCGGCGCGGGTTAACCCGGCAGGCGGTGGGCCTCCCGGCCACCTTCCGCGCGGTGGGGGGGGGCATTTTTTGCCCCCCCCCGTATCTCCGAAACTACTGGACGGATCCGGAACATTCAAACGGTGTTCGATAGCCCTGTCAAATTTGTTGAAGGAAACCAAATTTCATTGACTTCGGGGTCACCGATGACGTCACAGGTCAGGTCAAAGATAAAATGTTTCACCGTTCACGGGGCTTCTAGGGAAAGCGCTATAACACCGAGTAAAACGCATTTTGTCGAAAATCAGCGATAAGGCGTCAGTTGTCTAGCCCGCGCGGGGCTGGGGTCTCCATCCGAACGCGTGGGGCTGGGGGGGGTAAATTTTACCCCCCCCCCCTGTTATCTCCCGAACTAATGGTCCGATTTGGAAAATTCAAACTCCAATCGAAAGATCTCATCACGAACAACTAAAAACATGTACTTAATTTAAAGTTTGAGGTCAAGGTCAAGGTCAGGTCAAGGGTATAAATTGCAAGTTCCTACAGTAACGGCCTTGCACCGTAGTTGCCGAAGAATGGAGTCAAGTGGACTGAGACTGAATGCCCAAAACGTGTTCTTAGGCTACCAAGACAATATTCGTTGCATACAATATCATTTAGAGGTCAAGGTCAAGGTCAGGTCAGGTCAGGTCAGGTCACCAAAAACAAAATATTGAAAAGGGCATGTGCGACACATGTTTTATGGGTCATTTTACTCATAGAATGGGGTTGGGAACTCGATTTTTTAAGAATGCATGAAAATGATCAAACTATTTTCACAGAATTTATGGTGCATACCATTGCCTCATAAAATCAATATCCTGAGAGAAATGGGGGAAGAAAGATAGGAAACTTGTTTTGAAAAGTTTTTGAAAAAAAGATGCTCTTGATGCTGTTACGTCACATGTCACCTTCTGCGGTTGACAATTAATGGCGCATCTGGCGCACCACAGATTACATGTTATATAAATGGGTGAAAGATGTTGTTTGTTTCACTCTGCCATTCGCGCTGTTTTTAACTTTAAATTATGCTAAAACATTTACGGATGAAATGTTCAGTGTCAAAAATTGATGTGTCTGCCGTGTATTATATTCCCACTTAACCCGCGCCCCACTGGGGTCTGTGTATAACACGCCCTACTGGGGGGGGGGGGGGGGGCTATTCATAGCCCCCCTCCTAACTCCGAAACTACTGGGCCGATCGTCAAAATTCAAACGGCGTCTGATAGCCCCGGAAAAACTGTCGAGCGAAACCTAATTTCATTGACCTCGAGGTCACCGATGACGTCACAGGTCAGGTCAAAGTAAAAATTATTAGCATTTTGGTTTGTTCACATTTTGGGCTCTGGCCGCCGTCTTACAAGTCAGATCAGGCTCATTTTTGGTACACACACTCTTGAACAGATGCTCTAGATACCCTGAGGGTACCAAACTTTTACTTTGATTTTCAGGTCAAGGTCAGGTCATCACAGGTCACGAAAATATTTTATCATGCGTCGGTCACGTGACACATGTTTTATGGTCCATTTAGGCCATAGATTTCGAATTTGATGTCTTCTGTGTCATTCGAGGTCATTTTGAGTCGAATTTAGCTTAGGTCAGGTCACTTTCAGGTCAAAAAAGGTCAAATTTTGAAGTTGAAAATTTTCAACAAAAAAGGTGTCTATTGGATGCAGTTTGAGCTCAGGAAGACGATGGTGCCATTTATATCGGTGTACGATGTCAAATACGTACTGAAAAATTGATTTGAAAAATTAATAATTGTGAATTTTTTGCAATAATGCGTATAACTTGGCCATTTTTGAAGATATTTAGCTAAAACTTGCTAGAGTTAGTCATAATCATGCGTTCTGTCACATATATTCCGGTTTTTTGAAAAAAACAAAAACTTTTTGAAAAAAAATATAAAAATATAAATTTTGAATATTATTATATAAAATTTTCCAAATTTTCAAAATTTTGAAAATTCGAGATAGCAGTTTGATAGCGCGGTCAATTCTGAGTGCTTTCATGCAAAGAAATTGGATCTAGCTTAAAAACTGAGCTCTTGGGAGCGATTGCCGTGGTTCAATGTTTTGCGTCGAAATCGGGCGAACATGACGTCACTCTGACGTCATTTCCGGCCAACCTATGGTAGCTACGAAGTTCAAATTTTGACACAAGGTTTCAAATTGATGCAGCCGAAGGTACTGAAAGTTTGGCGTCGATCCGTCAAGCGGTTTGGAAGTTATTGCAGAAAAACGGGAGGGGGGGCTATAAATAGCCCCCCCCCAGTGGGGCGCGGGTTAACATTGAGCGCGTGATAAACATTTTATGTACCTCGAATTTTCAAATGATAAAGATGATGAATCGGAGGATGCTGAAAAGCAAAAGCTCATTCCAATATTTGGACTACTTTACGATTAAAATGTTTACAGTCCTGTCATCTTATTGATCATTTATTTGTTCTTTTTTATGAAAATAACTTAACCCTATTCCTGGCGGGCTCCGCCGGGACAAGAAACTGGCGGGGGGGGGGGGGGCCGATTCGGCCCCCCTGAGATCTCGAGAACGAAGCAAGATAGCGACAAACGGTAAACGGCATCGGATACGCACGGTCAAGATCTACAATTTTTACAAAGGTCATTTTCAGGTCAGGTCAAAGATGACGTCACAGGGGTCGAAAAAGTCAAAATGGCGGCGCTAGATATGGAGAGAGTTTTTCTCGAATAACTTTTGAATTAGTCAAGATAGGAACAAACTAAGGGCATCATCGTGATCCTCTCGTCAATCCGCATCGAATGATATATATGTTGACCTCGCAAGGTCAAGGTCAAAGGTTGACCTCAGGTCACGTGACCTCGAGGTCATCATGTATATCATTCGATGCGTCTTGACGAGCTGAACACAATGAGACCATCCACGCGTCTGTATCTTGTTCCTGTACGGAGTTATTGGCCAAAAACCTTTGGTGACCTTTGATGACGTCACATGACCTCACAGCTGCCCAACAGCAAAACAGACCTCAAGGTAGTGAAGGTTGATCGTATATGAAGTCATGTATGGTATATGGGGCCATTCCGACCCGTTTTAGTGGTAAAAACAGGGAGTTGATTTTTCCCCCATTGACTTATAATGGGGAGGTCGCGAAACTGACCTGACCTTAGGTCACCGATATCAAAATTCCGAGATATACAAATTGCACATACTGGTACCCTAACTAAAGCCTGAAGAGAAGAAATTGATCGGTCAAAAACTCTAGCTCTGGCGTGATTGCAAACTTTTCTGAGGTAGGGTCACCAAACCGCCTCTGGTGACCTGACCTGAGGTCAGATCAACTCAAAATTTTCAGACATGTTGCGTAGAAGCCTTTTAGGAAAAGTCAGAAAATTTGAGCTTCCTAGCTCAACGCGTTTGGGAGAAATAACCAAAAAACCTCAGGGGGGGGGGCTCCTGAGGCCCCCCGCCAGGAATAGGGTTAACCCTCGCCGGACCTATTGGTTTTCTACATACGCGCCGGCCGAGGGGGGGGGGGGCGGGTACGACCCCCCCCCCTCGCCGTTTCGCCCCTGGTGGAGCTAGC